CAGCGGCGGGGGGGGGGGGGGGGCCCGGGCCTTGGGGGCCCCAGGCCCGCACCCTCCCTCCGCTCCCTCCGCCGCCCGCTCCAGCAGCCAGCTAGCCAGCCTGCCAGCGGAAGTGCGCGCTCTTCCCGCCTCCTCCCGGCCTGAGCCCCTCCTCGGCGCCCCAACCACAGCGCCCCCGCGCGGCCCGGAGGCAGACCATCCCCGGTTCTCGCGGGGCACCCCAGTTGGGGCTCCCTCCCAATTCATGAGCCAGCTTGGTCACAGTCATCAACGCTTGCCTTTCCAGACACAGTGACGACTATTGCCACCTAGTGGACCGGACTTTTGAGTACCTGAGACCCAAGCACTTCCTAGTTTTCCCATTTTTTTTCTTTTTCTTGGTTTTTCCATTTCTAACTATGATGTCTCCTTCCTTTTTTGGCTGGGTCAGGGATCATCCCCCTAGTATCTGTGACCGTGACCTTCGAGACTCTGTATGACTTCGTGCATCCTCATTGTCCACTACTCACCGAACCCTGTAGAATCCTGCTGACCTGTTTTCAGTTCCTTTAACTTATGGAAGGCCTTCTTCCCCCAACGCTCTGCCCCTTTCTTTGCTCATCCTATATCACAACTTTCCTTTTTTCTTTTTCTCAAGACAGGATTTCTCTGTGTAGCCTTGGCTGTCCTGGAACTTGCTCTGTAGACCAGGCTGTCCTCAAACCACAGAGATCCGTGTGCCTCTGCCTCCTGAGCACTGGGATTAAAAGTGTGCACCACCACCAAGCTCTATGTCTCATTTTCTATGACACCCACCTGAAGCTTCCTTTGGCCACCCAGAGAATGATTCTCCACCTACTCCATTATCTTCCTTCCTGCTAGTTTTCCTCTTTCCAGCACCCATTGCAACTTATGACCATGTATTTAGTTGTTTATAATTTTAATAGCTGTCTCACTCACAGGATGCACTTGCTTAGAGTTTATAAATGCTAAGCATCAGAAACTATGTTGGTTTATTTCTTCTCGTTCTTCACGCCAGTCATGGGCCTGACCTAGCAGGGCCCTCAGTGTGTGGAATCTAAGGGGGAAAAAAAGTAGAGTTGCAGTTTTCTTGTGCTCAACGTCCCCAGGCTTCTTCAGGGGCATGCGTCTCCATATTCCTCCTCACTTTCCATCCCTGGGCATTTCCACATGAAGGAGATGTGTCTGTGCTGGCAGGAAATAGGCCTGAGAACTCATCCTCTTACCCTACCCAGCAAAGCCCTACCTACTCCCCTTGCTCAGGGGCCAGTTTCCTTCTCTCTCTGTTTACCTTGGGATCACAGGTCATGCCTGCCTATGCATACAACTGTAGAAGGGAAACTTTTGTTGTTGTTTTTGAAGACAGGGCTTCTCTGTAGCTTTGGAGCCTGTCCTGGCACTCACTTTGTAGCCCAGGCTGGCCTCGAATTCACAGAGATCCACCTGCCTCTGCCTCCTGAGTGCTGGGATTAAAAGCATGGAGCCACCACCGACCTGCGGGGGAACATTTTTTTAAGTCTCTCTCTTCCATTTTAGTGTCATGTTACAAAATTATCCCTTCCCAAAGGCTCAGTTTGGAGCCTTATGTATGAAGTCTTTAGAAAAGTGTGTTTTCCCAGGCCCACAGACATCAGATTCATAATCCCAGCTACTCAGGAGGCTGAGACAGACGGATCCTAGTTCAAGGACTGTTTGGGCTACAGAATGAGTTCCAGGCTATCTCAGGCAACTCAGTGAGACCCTGTCACAAAATTAAAAGTAAAAAGAGGCTACATGATAGTAAGCTTGCCTGCCATTGGGAGGCTCTAGGTTCAACCCCCAGTCACAAGCACACTCAGGAGGGATTTTAGGTAAGACCCCTCAAGGTCCTGTTTGCTCATCCCTCTTTTTCCTGATGTTTGGCAATTTCTGCCCATGTCATCTTCAACAGAAGCAATCAGGCTTCACTCAGGATACCTGGGGCTTTGAGTGTCTTTCAAGACTCTCCATCCTGTCCACTTGGGAAGTTCTTCCTTCCGGACTGTCTCTTCCTCATTTGTAATCCTTCCTCTCATTTAGGACTACACTAGCCCCAGGCTCTGGCCTCAGCAGAGGGGCATGTTGCTTGGGCCCCAACTGCAGCAGCTGTGGCTCCAGCTTCCAGGTAGGAGAAGTAGGACCCCTGTTCTGGCTTCAGTCAGTACACAGCAGTGGCTTCCCAGAGATTTTCAGGTCATCAAAGGGCAAATAAGACAGGAGCTGAGAAAGACAAATGGAGAGAAACAGAGTTAAGGTCATGAGAAAGGACAGTAGGGACCTGGGAGGAACTCTTGTCAATACTGTCTTCCCAGATAGTGACTGTGACCTGGGCATGGCAGAGCCCCCAAAGTTTTAGGCAAGTGCTAAAATAAATCAAGCAGGATATCTGAGCTAGGAGTGGCTTAGAGCTAATCCAGTCCATAGGACTCTTCTTTGTTGATGGTGTGTGGGGGGGGATAAAGCATGAATTTTTTTTTAATTGGTTTTTCGAGACAGGGTTTCTCTGTGTAGCTTTGGAGTCTATCCTGGCACTCGCTCTGGAGACCAGGCTGGCCTCGAACTCACAGAGATCCGCCTGCCTCTGCCTCCCGAGTGCTGGGATTAAAGGCATGCACCACCAACGCCCGGCTGCATGAAATGTTTTGAACATTTTTATTTGTTTGTTTTTGAGACAGGGTTTCTCTGTAACAACCCTGGCTGTCCTGGAACTCACTTTGTACACCAGGCTGGCCTTGAACTCTTAGAGATCTGCCTGCCTTTGCCTCTCAAGTGCTGGGACTAAAGGCATGTGCCAGCTAACCTGGCTGAATATATTTTTATGTATATAAAATGTGAGTTTTGCCCGGTGGTGGAGGTAGAGGCAGGAGGATCTCTGAGTTTGAGGCCAGCCTGGTCTATACAGCGAGTTCCAGGACAGGCTCCAAAACTACAGAGAAACACTGTCTCAAAAACTAAACAAGGGCTGGAGAGATGGCTCAGAGGTTAAGAGCACTGGCTGCTCTTCCAGAGGTCCTGAATTCAATTCCCAGCAACCATATGGTGGCCCACAACCATTTGCAATGAGATCTGGTGCCCTCTTCTGGTGTGCAGATATATATGGAAGCAGAATGTTGTATACATAATAAATAAATAAAATCTTTAAAAAAAAAACTAAACAAAACCACAACAACAACAAAAAAAACCCAACAAAACCTGAGGAAAATAAAAAAAAAGAAGCAGTCCTGTTCGGCCCTAGCAGTTTGGGAGGGAAGAGGGGTTGAGCTTAGGCTGGCCCTGAAGTTGCTATACAGAAGACCTTCAGCATGTGATCCTCCTGTCCCCATTTCCCAAGTGCTGGCATTATAGATATATGTCACTTTATGTGGTGCTGGGGATTGAACCCAGAGCCTCTTCCATGCTAAGCAAGCACTCTGTCAACTGAGTTACATCTCCGACAGGACCCCAGCACTGTTAATTGGTAGTGGTCCTTTGCCTAATGAAAGAGCCTAACCCTGTTATGGGTGGGAGGCCCTGCAAGATAGAGCATATGTCTCTTACATCCTCGGCCAGGTCCTGGGGTGTCTCATCTTCCACATTCAGCAGCAGGGAGTCGGCACCAGCTTCACACAGAGTGGATGAAATGCTGCTAAGGCCCCGGCCAGCTGCCAGATGCAAAGGTGTGCAACCATTGAGCATTCGAGCATCTACCTGGGCCCCAGCCCGGAGCAAAAACTGCACCAGGCTATGTTCCTGGGTTTCCACAGCCAGGTGCAGTGCAGTCTTTCCACTGGTCGCCTCCTGGAGAAGAATAAGGGGTATGAATGTCAAGAGGTACTATGCCGGGGGCTGGAGAGATGGCTCAGAGATTAAGAGCACTGGCTGCTCTTCCAGAGGTCTTGAGTTCAATTCCCAGCAACCACATGATGGCTCACAACTATCTGTAATGAAATCTGGTGCCCCCCTCTGGCCTGCAGGGACACATGCAGACAGAATACTGTATACAAAATAAATATTTAAAAAAAAAAAGAGGTAATATGCTGAGTCTGAGCTCTGGAGATGGGGTGTCAACAGTTTAGCACTAGCAGAGGACCTGCAGCTAGACCAGATGCTGGCAGGTGGTGGACCAGGTGGTGGCAGGTGGAGGACTAGGTGGTGCCCTGATTGGTAGCTTCACCTGTGCATTGATGTCCGCGCCATTCTGAAGCAGCAATTCTATGAGTGGCTGGTTCCTCTGCAGCGTGGCGATGTGGAGACAGGCCAGACCTGGGGTGGGGTAGGGTGGAGACTGCTGTTTGCTATCTACTGATCCTTTTCTTCAGGGACTACCCAACCCTTCAGCCTCATGGGACTCTGCCTACTCAAAGCCTCTAATCACAGGACTGTTAAAATACAACCTCCCAAAAACCCCCTCAGAAGTCTGAGAGGAAAGGAACTCAGAGTTTCCATTTTTTCAGTCATATTACTGAAACTTTCATGCTTCAAGGGTCAGGT